AAATAGAGAAGCATCTTGATGACTTTCTATAAAGCCCGCTTTGAGCACGACATCGCGAAAACACTCAAACCAAGCGCGGGGTGCCTGTTTGAGACCATAAACAGCACGACGAAGGAGACATACATGTCCCGGAGGAATATTTGACCCTGGAGGCGGTTGCATATATACGGTCTCTGATAAAGAGCCATGAAGAAAAGTATTTTTGACATCCATCTGGTATAAGGGCCAACGATGAGCAGCAGCGACCGCAAGGAGAGTACGAACAGTGGGCATCTGAGCAACAGGAGCAAAGGTCTCCTCATAATCAATACATTGTTGCTGAGTAAAACCTCGCGCCACTAAACGAGCTTTTCGACGTTCAATGGTGCCATCAGGATGAAACTTGACCTTATAAACCCATTTACTGCCAACAAGAGAGATCCTAGGTGGACAGGGAACAACATCCCAGGTATGAGTTTGCTGAAAGGCTTGAAATTCCTCAGCCATAGCCTGTCGCCACTCTGAAATTTGAACTGCCTCTTGGAAGGACTTTGGCTCAACAATAGTATGAATGACAGCAAGAAAGTTATGAAAGATAGGTGAATAAGAAGTAACAGAAGCATACCGGGCAGGCATGACATGTGGGCGTTTGCCTCGACGAAGAGCAAGATGAACCTCAGGCGGGGGAGATGCTGGCGCAGGTGCGTGGAGATCAACAGTATTATATGGAGTGAGAGTTGTGTCCACGGGATATAGATTAGATGGTGTAAGAGAAGAGTCGGGTAAGGAAGAGTCAACAGAAGGAGAGGGAGAGATGTCAGGGAGATCTCGAAAGAAAAATTAAGGTGAAGAAGTGGGTGATGCAGTTGACGGGGAAGCATGATCAGTAGAGTGGAGGAAATTAAAGTCATCAGAAGTAGAATAATATGGAGAATCCTCTTCGAACTGAACATGACGAGATATATGAACTCGACGAGTTGCGGGATCATAACAATGATAACCTCGATGTTCTGAACTAATTCCTAAATAAACACAAGAAACAGCTCTGGGAGATAATTTATCACGTTCGTGAGATGGCAGAAGAACAAAACATCGACAACCAAAAACGCGAACTAGATCATAACGGGGAGGATGAGTATAAACACGACTATAAGGAGTAGCACCGGAAAGAGAGCTAGATGGAGTGATATTAATGGCATGAGTCGCAGTGAGAATATCCTCAGCCCAGAAACGATGAGGAACAGAGTAAGAAATGAGCATTGATCGAGCAGTATCGAGGATATGACGATGTTTGCGTTCAGCAACACCATTTTGCTCATGAGTATAGGGACATGACTGTTGAAAGATAGTCCCATGAGAGGACATGATAGAGCGCATGGTAGAGGATAGATACTCTTTGGCACAATCAGAACGAAAAACTTTAATACGAGATTGCCATTGAGTGAAAATCATAGTAGTGAATGCTTGATAAGCAGTAAGTACGTCAGAGCGATTCTTAAGTAGGTAAACCCATGTAAAACGAGAGAAATCGTCGATAAAGCTAACATAATATAAGTAGCCAAATGAAGAAGGCAAAGGAGCTAGTCCCCAAATATCAGAATGTACTAAATCAAATAAGGAAGTGGATATGGATGTACTCATTTTAAATGGTAAAGCAGTGAATTTAGCCAATTTGCAACCAGTACATGACTCAATACTAGAACTAGATGATACAGGACCAAGTACTCCAAACTGAATAAGACTCTCCAGCCTTTTATTAGACACATGACCAAGTCGTCTATGCCATAAATTGGCAGGAAGCGAGGTAGAGGGTTTTGACGAACGAAGAGAAGCAATAAGAGAACGTGGACGTATGGATTCTGGAAGGTGAAGGTATTCCAAAAAATACAGTTTGTGCCTCCTACGACCCGCCCCAACCGTCTTGCCCGTCTGTGGATCCTGCACAATACAAGTATCAGAAGAAAATGAGACAAACAGGCCCGCCATGTATAAAGAGCTAATAAAAATTAAATTCAAGCACAACTGAGGAGCCACATAGACGGGACCAAGTATTAGACGACCAGATGGATCATTTTATGGGTAATAGAGCCATACTGAGTAATGGACAATGGTTGTCCAACAACTGTGTAGATAGGAGGAAGAGAGGATGAAGTAAAGACAGAGGATAAAAGTGAGGCATTACAAGTCATATGAAAGGAACAACCATAGTTAAAAATCCAGAGATCATTCATACCAGAGACCGAATGATTAGCCAAAGAACCAACAAAATGCATACCAGAGAGTTGTGCGGTGGATGTAGAGGTGATATGTTGAAAAGCATCAAGTTGACGACGAAGACTTTCAATAGCTTGAATAGTAGAGTCTGAAGTAGTAGGAGGTATAGCATTGGCCAGCAATCCTGGTGTACGAGAGGTTGAGACTGAGGGGGTCGCCGACCACGACCAGTACCTGAGGAACGTAACTCAGGATGAAGCTTGAAGCATGTCTCAATGTGGTGTCCTTCCTTCTTGCAATATTTGCAAGAGAGCTTAGATCGAGCCTGTGGAAAAGTATGATTCATAACAGGAGCAGTGACAGGTACAGACAAAACAGTCTTATGTGAAGAGGTAGGAATGTCTGTTGACAAATTGAGTCGTATTGTCTGCTGTCGGGTCTCATAAGCAGTGAGAGCTCCCATAACTGAGGCCAAAGTCGGAAATTGAGGCTGATGAAGTAGTTGATCAGCCATAGTTGAATATTCGGGAAGAGACTGAAACAGTTGATGCACCTCATGCCGTTCGTACCAGGCTAGCCAGTCTTCATATGTGGAATTACGTCCAGGAAGCATGGAGCGTAACTCTGTCCAAAAAGCTTGCATTTGTCCAAAATGGGACTGCAGAGATGAACTACCTTTGCATTGTAGAGCAATGCGTTGCAGAAGATATGCCTCCCGTGCACCCGAGCACTCAGTGAAACACTCAGTGAGACGAGTCCACATGGCCCGAGCAGAGGGAAGCGAGCCAATCTCGACAGTGAGACCAGAGCCAACACAGCGAGTGAGATAATCCATGACACGAAATTCCTGCAATTGCCACTCTGAACTCTCCTTGACATAGAGAGCACGAGCAGTCTGAAGATCGACATCACCACTGCCAGAGGTAATAGTACTGGATAAAGCAACAATGCTGATGGACGGTAAAACTGGTCCCGTACCGGTGAGATGATCAAGCAAACCAACGCCACGCAAGGCATTGGTGACAATGGTGGACCACCCTGCCCAGTCACTTTGATCATTGAGGGGCAAAGATGGTTTGAGAATCTTCTCTGAATGAACCATAACAGCAATGTTCAGACGTTAAGACGTCGAGATGTCGTTACTACTGCAAAACGGCAATGCCGTTCGTTTGAGGCCTAGAGACGGCTTGAAACGACGATGCCATTAATTTGAGACCGAGAGACGGTCTTGAAACGGCAATGCCGTTAAAATAGAACCCGAATGGTAGAATGAAACCCGAAGGTTTAAAATAGAACCCGAAGGTTAGAATGAAATCCGAAGGTTAAACGAGAACGCGATTAAGAGGCCGCAAAGCGGCAATGCCAAAATATCTGGCAGATGAACGCCAAAAAAAAAAACATTAAACGGCTGCAAAGCAACAAGGTCAAGATTTGGTAACAGAACGCAGAAGCGTTAAAAATTTTATTTGAAGGGAAATAGCCCTAGCTCTGATACCATGTTAAAGTAAGAGAGAGAGAATCTTGGGTAAATTTCCCTGAAATAGCCCTAGCTCTGATACCATGTTAAAGTAAGAGAGAGAGAATCTTGGGTAAATTTCCCTTGAGTTGAATATTGAGTGTGCACATATATGAGAGAGAATCTTGGGTAAATTTCCCTTGAGTTGAATATTGAGTGTGCACATATATTTATACAAGTAGAGAAGTGTGAGATTTGTTATCCCAAGCAATGTGAGACTAAAACTCACTACAATACACTATTATCAACAAGTACAAACACAAGTCCCACCTCTGTACTGCACTGTGCATGAGGTTAGTCCTAATGAACCCCCGCCTTCAACCACAAATAATATTATGGCTTCGAAAATACTTGACCTGTCAGATCCAAACAAACTGGGAAGGTATTTGAATAGGGAACTTTGAACCTGATAGAATTATTGGATTGCACGAAGCTGATTCTGACCTGGCCCATTTTAATGTGTACCTTCAATGGGTAGGATTTGGATGTAGAAGAACTGACCCCAAGCCTAAAATTATCTTGGACCCGTGGCTTGTGCCTTAAATATAACATGTACCGTATGTTGCATGGAAATAGATACCGGTACACATTCGGTTATGAGACATAGTTTACATGAGATCAATATTGTTTTTTCTTTCACATGTTATGAGAATTAAATTTCTATAACATTTTTACCTTTCTTTTATTATGGTGATTATAACTGGAAACAATTCATTTTTGTACTAGATACACAAAATTCCCTTTAAAAGCATAGTTCAAAACTGAGTATGGGCTGAAAAGAACACAACCCTTGTCCAAGTTTCAGAAAGTAGATCTGAAGTATAAGAAATATGACCAAAAAGTGTGTGTATGACTAGTGTTTTAAATTAGAACATGTATTTTAAATTGAGTCCGCATTTTAACACATCTATACATATATTCAATGTGTGTCCAAGAATGTATTGGTGTCCGCTACGGGTTATTTGTAGGTTACACATACGGCTTCATGGCAGCTGAATCAACGCAACGTAGCATGTACCGATGGGTGAGAGGGGGTCGTGATAGAAAAAGCCCTTCCCTCTTGTGCGTATGGATCAGCTAGTAACAAGAATAATCTCACACGCATGAAAAGTAACCAATCTCAATAAACTACAGAACACTTTCCTCAAAAATAACTATCAGAAAGTGACACAAACATCAAATCTTGGAAAAAAAAAATTCTCCGCTACCCAATGGATAAAATACAAACTCTTCTCAAATCCCTTACCCAAGGATTTGAGGAACCATCTAAAGCAAGACAATGAATGGTTACCTTGAAGCAACGGTCCATCAATCCCAGTCACTTTTCAATCTCTTCCAAGAAAACCAGACATAGAATACAGCAAAGCGCTACGACGATCTAATTTGTCCTGCATCAAAGGATCCAAAAGTGTCAATGGTTTCGGTTGCAAACCCCGTATGAAGCTGACTGATTCCTGCTCAATTATAAAATATGTCATTGCAGAAAATTTTGCAAGGAAGAGCCTATTAGTCTTCTTTTGCAGGTCAGAGCGTAGCACTTCTCACCTACTCAAATTGAGTACTCTACAAGATAGCAGCAGAAACTTTAATTATCGCCACCTACCAGCTTAAATATACTTAAAACAAAAATCTCCATCTTTGAATAGTTAATATGCTGATGGAGCGTGCGCATTTTAATATACCTTCTAGAACACACCATGTGACATATCATTTTTCCATTAGTTATTTCTCAATATTTTTCGAACTATTGATGTTGCACTAGTGATCTCCTGGTCAGATGTCAGGGTTAAATCTTCCACGCTTCTAGTTTTACTAGAATGGTGAATATCTGACCAGTACCAAATAATCTTACAGAACTTCAGAATAAACAACAGCTAGCGTAAATTTTGCCATCAGCCAGCAAGGATTATGACGCACAAATGGTACATTGCACTTGAAACATAAAGAAGGTAAAACTATGAATCAATCGGAGACAGTACAACAGCTAAGCCTTTGAAGTTTATCATTTAATTTCCAAGCTCCAACATAGACTCTATTAACTTTGTTCCCTCGTTCTTATTCAATAAGTCTTGTTGACGTAGATCAGACATAAGAAATTAACATCATGATCAAATTATAAGCGCAGTAAGTCCTAAGCTTTTTGCTTATTCTTTAACTTAAAGCATTTAGGAGAAGACGCCATCTCACTGAGAAGGAGAAACACAAGCCATGAACTCCTCATCCACCTCTAGAGAAGCCATGGACTCTGGTAACAGACACACCTCGATATCCACACTCCCTCCACCCTCCTGCCCAGGATACGATGTCACTTTACCACCAAACTTATCTGCAATGCCACTCCTCAATGCCACCGCCTTCCCCCATCCAAAATCACATCCATACATGTCAAACCTTGGTGAGCTCCCAATCATCAAAGATGAATTCTTAAGTCCACTCAACCGATACACAACAGGCTTCTGATGATACTTCCTAACAAATTCCCTAATTGCAGTATCAGTGTGCAACGTCACACTCTGATGCACAAGCGAAGCTGCCCATCCGAGCCCATGGGCCATCAGTTCACCAACCGTTGCACTTGCAACCGCTGCAGACATTGAATTCCCAAAGTAATCGGGCGATAACTGTGGTTGCAGTCGTGCACGGTATTGAATTGAAAGTAAGCAACTAGTCTTCTGATCAGGAGGTAGACAACGTGCACGCGTGACAGATCGCCATATCAGGGCAGACAAGGCTTGGAAAGAGGAGATTACATCGGTGTTACACTCCTTGTTGGCCTTTGCTTTTAACTGAGCAATGGATTGTGAAGAGAAATGAAAGATCTTTTCTCTTAGAGGAGGTGGGTTGGGCCTCTCAATGTATTCCTCCGGGTCTGAGAATGGTAGCTTTATAGGAGGGTTTTCTTCCTCAATGAACCAACGGTCATGAACGGGAGGCCTAGAGATGGTGAAGTCACCTTCTTTTGTTGAGCGGGCAATCTCAGCCCAGGCATTAAAGAAGTGCCAATAAGAGGTACCGTCCCCAACAACATGATTGAAACAACAAGCAAGAAAGATGCCATCGGAGAGTTTTGTAAGCTGAATGGCGAGAAGTGGGAGAGTGTGGCCATCGTGGTTGATGGCTCCATTAAAAGGAAAGAAAGATTGAAGGAACGACGGAATATCGTCTGATGGAGCAAGAACATCAGAAATTGTGACATCAGGGGCTATGGCATAGATGAACTCCGCCCCTTGGCTCTTGCAGTCGATTGAGACTTGTAGACCGCTGATTTTACCGTTATTGTCTAAAACCCGTTCAGTTTTGAGGCGACCAGCGAGAGGGTAGAAGTGGCAGAGGGCGACGGACAGAGAGGACATCAGGCGATCGATGATACTCTCGATGGAGAACGCAGAGGGGAGGTTTGAGAAGAGGAGCCCTTTCTGAATGTAGTTTAAAGAGAGCAGGGGAAGGTCCCAATGCGTGAGATGGCAGATATTGACAGCAGGGTTTGGGCATGATGAGGGTTTAACTAAGCATTTGGAGACTTGAACGATCATGGGAGGAGGAGATGTAGCCATTATTCGGATTTGAAAAATTTGAACCCCTCAATAGGCCACTCAAATCATAATAAGACCTCCCTCTTGCAATTTTTCTTTCTTTGCCTCCTCCACTTCTGCATCAATAACATTTTGTTCTTTATATAAACAAGTTGGACAAATTTTCAAAACAATCCCTTTTGCAAATTTATTCCCAAAAAACAACTCATTTCTCTCTTATTTGTAAAAACCGACCTGGTTTCAGCCTCAGCGTTGAAACCAGGTCGGTTTTTACAAAAAAAAGTTCCGAAACTTCACGGGAGTTGAACTCCCGTGAAGTTTCACAGTTCAAAAAATTTGTTTTTGAACTAAGAAACTTCACGGGAGTTCAACTCCCGTGAAGTTTAGCAGCTTAATTAAAAACTGCTAATCTTCACGGGAGTTCAACTCCCGTGAAGTTTCGGAATTTTTTTTGTAAAAACCGACCTAGTTTCAACGCTGCGGCTGAAACCAGTTCGGTTTTTACAAATAAAAATTAAAGAGGTCGTTTTTTGGGAATAAAATTGCAAAAAGGATTGTTTTGAAAATTTGTCCTAAACAAGTTGCTAATTACTAACTGTTGTTTTCCTATGATATTGAGGTGCAAAAATGTGATAAACATGACAGTGACATAATTGTTAGTTTCAAATATCAGGGTCAAAGTTGGTGGCTAGTTACTTCTCCTTGGTGGCTAGTTACTTCTCCTTCGTTACATCATCTATAATTATGTGCCATCTTCTTTGCAACTTCCTTCAAAAGTTTGGACCCACCTGATAGTCCGTAGAAAAGCTTTTCTAACACTTGAAAGACTTATCATGCGGAAAGCGTATCGTTCAGTATCACTGGTGATCAGGTATCCCTGAGACCAGTATAATTTCCCCAATTAAGGGCAGAACAGTTTATCATCTAGTACTCCAACTAATTTTAATGTTAGATTCTACGTTACTAAATGAGGGCAGACTGCAGAGTATGAGCATTCAGGAATATTCTGGAATAAGCAAAAAAAAAAAAAAAAATTCACAAATAAACCTGTAAATTCACAGTTCAATGGAGGAAGCAAAGGATGGGATATGAGTTAAGTATATTGAGAAACTTTGAGCTAGTTTGAGATGACCTTGTAGATGAGCATAAACGAATATTGTGACCAGGAAAAAATCAAACAGCCCAAAAATTAGTATAGGGAGACGGGAATAAGTGGAGGACACAAAGGATTAATGAATTACTTTCCTACAGGAAAGGAATATACGAATTGTCAGAGTGAAACCTGAGCATGTAAGAAATTAACCAACGAGTCACACATTCAGCTTGAGCTTTAGATTGAAGTGGTTGTCTCACATACATAAATACTATTGCAGCTCTATTACACAAACATAAAAATTGTACATAAAGTCAAGACAGTATGAACTATTTAAAATATTTGAGACAGCATTATTTCAGATAGAACATGTCTTCAAGAGTAAATCTAATCTTTTTGCAGAATCAACATTTAATGAGAAGAGAAAGTTGTTACTTCGTAGAGATTTATTTCCATCAGAATGAGATTATACACATCCTTTCTCCTAACCTCAGTAGGAGGCTTTAAGATTAACATGAGAGGTTCAATTTAGGTGGCAAGGGTGTTTGCTAGGTATTCCTTTGAAGTGATCTGTCGATCCAATGCCATGCCATTTCCAGTAACAAGTGAGAAAAGGTGAATTAGGCTCTACGCTACCACATTGGTGCATCACCAATGAATCGTTTTTTGAGAGAAAGATCAACAATGAATCTTTTGTAAATAAGTGAAACTAGCTCCATTCTCTCCAATGCATCAAATATGAAGTTCACTCCAGTCCAGTCCAGTTATATCAATACAAGATGTTGATGACTGTTATTGAATGGCCCAGTCCAGTAAGATCAATATCGGGTGTAAAATGAATAAAGATTTGGAAGGAAAGCCAATCGAGTCATGTATTATGATATGTATAAACAGTAAACACTATCCTATATGACACCCCCGGTAACTACTAAACTCAACATATTTCCTTTATCTGCTATCCAGTGTGGAATTTTTGAATCCAACGTAACCCTTAGAAGAGTGGGTAATTACATATGCAGCAGAGTAGAACTGCTAAGAACTTAGAGAGAAATTCGAGAAAATATGAAGGAATTAGTTCTGAGAATTCCAAGGGAAGAAAAATTATAGGCCTAATTGGTGTTTTAGTAAAGGGAGTTTTCAATATGAAAAGTATAGCAGGTTATGAATTTTGATTTAAGAATAAAATGAGAGAGATGATTCTGAATTATGCAATAACAGATGCCCTTAACATAACCAACCAATGCTTGAATAAGAGAAATGAACAATTGAATCTTTTAAATATAAATCAAACTATAGGTATGTGCATTTGTAAGAAATTAGAGGTTGGTCAAAGTGAGAGAGAATCGACTGAGATGGTTCTCACATGTACAACAGAGGCCAATAAGCATGTAGCTTAGAAGAAGTAAAAGATGGCAACAAGGACTGTACTAGGCTTTACATAAATGGATGAAGGAAATTATACATAACATAATGATTGTTAGTTAACCAGCAAGATGTTCCTTTACAATTAAAAAGAAAGAAAAGCGTTGCGTAGCCTACCTCAAAAGTTCGAGATGAAATCATAACTGTTGTCTATATTGCAAGGATTCTTCAATAACATAGATGAGCCCATATCCGTTATCCAATTACTCAGACGTTTGACATAGCCAGATACCACCTATATCAAAGATGCAAAAAGATGTAGCAGAGATAAGTACATCTAATGCATAATTTCAAACTACAATTTTTTGTAAATGCATATATATCACTTGTATACTTCATCAATGAAGAATTATTGACAATTGTGGGACTCAAAAAATTTTATACAATTTGATTATATTGTGTTTTGTTACCCCTTGCATCTTAGAAGTTCATGTTATATTGAAACTATAATAACTCACAAGCACTCAGTTTCATCAACGATGTACCAATTTACTAGACTTGCAAGAGTCTTATACCTATATACCTGTATCATTTTGAGTCCACATCTTATATCTGTACTAGTGCAACATATTATGTTGTGTTGTCATATCCTTGCTCCACGTGAAATTTAGACTATAGCGGGACAAATTTGCATTAATTCAAATGAAAATCACATTTGTGTCTCGAGTTGCATAGCAGACATAACTGGCCAAAAAAACAACCCAGCTAGCCAATCTAATAAAAGTAGAAACTTCTACTCCAGACTGTTTCCTAGAGTTTGCAAATTTCAAATTACATGATCTGTAATCTTTTGGTCGATTGAGACAGTAAGAACGGCGGCTGAGCACCCATAGTTTGCTGTAAACACATCAGTCATCTGTCATGCTACCCTGATACTGCTAACTTGTATCGCTAATAACCAAACAGTACCTATTGTATCACTTGTAAAAAATTTAACATGATTTCAGCTCGCAATCTAAACAGGAGTATTCAGATAATTTCAACTGTAACTTTCAACAAAAACAACAATTAATTGCTGTGTGCAATAAATATTTAGTGGAGGTCTTTGTATCCTGTCACGTACTTAATCGACATGGAGCTCCTTTTAGTAAAAGTTTATCCATAAAGCTTTCTCTTTAGCAAGTTCAGACTTGCTGAGTGATAACATTGACTTTCTTATTTCTGATAATCAATCTAATAGTGAGGGTTCTTTCTTTGATCAGTTGGAACAGCTGCGAAGTAAATAGAGATGGTCAAACAGTTGCAGAAAGACCTACTAGCAACAGTTTGAACCTTTGCTAGTAGGATTACCAGTACTTGTGTTAAGTACCTTAATCCACATAATTGAAACCTGGTTTGGAAACTAGAGGAACTCAGCAAGAGTTCCCACATCAAAATTGAGTCCGCTAACCCCATTTTCAGAGTGACGTGAGGGTTGGAGACATGCAACCTACACTCCTGATATCTTTGTTGAGGACTATCATCAGATTCAAGCAAGGTATGGCTACGATTCCAACATTGTCAGAGTTGAACTATATTAGAACAAAAAATTACAACCCTCAACTCCCACCACAACTTTGGAGTTTTGGTGTGTAGCAGAAACCTTTGACATGGTATCCAAGAAACCCAGGTTCAATTCCCACTAGCCACGCATTTAAAGTGGATTTGTTGGGGGACAAAATAGATAGTGTTGTGTGAGTCAAGGTATCGGGCCATAAAAAGGGTTTAAAGTGGATTTTTTAGGGGACAAAATAGATAGTGTTGTGTGAGTCAAGGTTTCGGGCCATAAAAAGGGTGCCCAACCTGCGGGGGCATATGTAACCACAGCTTCGAAATTTTGCTATTAGTGGCCAGAACCTTTGACAAACTAGATTAGAAGTTTTATTATGATGTTTTGGTTAATATATTTTTTCATCTAGTCAGAAAAAAATGGTTGAATATATTCAGTTGAGTTGGATAAGTTTACTTGGTTAATATATTTTTCCATCTAGTCAGAAAAAAAATGGTTGAATATATTCAGTTGAGTCGGATAAGTTGCTCAGCATACAACTTATACCTTTGTTTGAAGTTGCTAGCTAAAGTTAAGAGCCAAGTAAGAGAGGTGCAACAGATGAAGAGAACTAGCTGCGAGCAAATTGGAACGGAGCTTGATTGACTGGAGCGGAAGATCACTGGTTTCAGAGCTTGAAGGGTAAAAACTTGTAGTGTTTTTCACCTTTTATTTTCATAAATAAGTTAAATGAATAATGATAATTAATGAACATAAAATAGAAAATAATTTAATCTGGACTATCCAAGCTTCGTGTACGTTGATATGCCGGTCAAAGGTTTACAGAGAATCTAAGGAATTAGTATAGAGATTGAGGGATACAACTTTCAGTTCTAGAAACAAAATGAGACTAGATCGTGAAAGAGAAGAGACAATAATTGCTATAGACAAAATTCATCCAATACTGTATTCCTGAAATTACGTAAAAATTATTTGAACAATGTTAGGCTCATAAGAGACAACTACTGAGAGTAATATTTGCCACGACAAGAATTAGACTTCAATAGATTATCACGGGCAGACCAGCTTTGAAGGAACTTCACTATGGAGGGGGTTTCCTATCATAGCCAAATCTAAACGGCTGCAGCAAGTTGCTTGCTCATGTAGAAAGAAAATTTGGACTTTTGCTGGTCCACTAGGAGGTTGTGAGTCCCACTTTTGCACTCCCTGAGTAGGTCAAACTAATCAGTATTGCTCCCCATGTTGATGTGAGATAAGGGTATTGACCCCAACAAGTGAAAATCCCAAAGAATCTCTAAAATAATAGCCTCGGTAGAGCAATTGCAGCCCATTGAAGACCGAAGTCAGGTTCCATGTATGGCAAAATACAAAACAAATCCTCTATTACAAACTTTCAGGGTTCATCTATGTTGGGACAAACCCGGGACCTAATAGAGCAATGTCCCAGCGAATAGTAGAGCAGAAGTATTAAAATAAACACACAGATTTATGTAGAAAAACCTCCTAAATAAATTTGGAAAAAAACCACGAGCAAGGATAGAAAAATTCACTATGAGGAAAAATTTTGGAGTTACAATCTCTCTTTACAAGGAGTAACTCTCTATTTTTCTCTCACTCTTCTATATGTGGAGTTGTTATTTCTGGGATGATCTCAACTTAAGGCTAGGAGGGCTATATATAGGTAATTTTGTGGTAGGTATGTACAGTTGCTACAATGTTTCTACGGTAACAGTTGGTGGCTCTGTGGTTGGTATTTACTGTAGCGGGTAGGTGGTTACTGTGCTTTCTAACAATCTCCTTCTTGAAGATTAAATTGAAAATCAATCATATCTTCACATTATTTTTTCTATCTTGACATCTTCATGTTGCTCACGTCTTCGACAGACCATAAAATGAGCGACACCAAATAAATTTATCAGTGTTGACTGTCTTTGTTAAAAAATCTGCTAGGTTTCTTTTGTGTGAATTTTCTACATATCCACTGTTCCTTCTTCCACTTTTTCATGAACGAAGTGGTACTGAACTTGAATGTATTTTGTTTTTGAATGAAAAGCTGAATTTCTTGCTAAATGTAAGCACTCTGGCTGTCACAAAATAAAAAAAATCTTCTTTTGTTCATGTTCGAGTTTCTCCAATATCATTCTCAACTATATTGCCTCTTTACTAGCTTGTGTAGCTGCTGCATATTCTGTTTCTGTTATTGATGTAGTCACAATTGACTGCAGTTTTAAAACCCAGCTTACAACTCTGCCAGCAAGTGCAAACATATAGCTTATGGTAGATTTGTTGTTATCGTGATAATCTACATAATCAGAATTAACATATCTATTGACAATAAAATCTGATTCCACATAACATAATGCAATATTGAGGTTCCCTTAATATATCTTAAGACCCTCTTTAAGACATTTTAATATTTTTATCAGGATTTGTCATGTATTGATTAACCACTCCCACTGCTTGTGCAATGACTGGTTTTGTACAAATCATAGTGCGCATTAGACTTTCCACTACTGATGCATACAGTATTCGAGATATCTACATCCTCTCTTCTTCAATGTTAAGACTCATAGTAGAGGATAACTTGAAATTAACAGGAAATAGAGCAAAATTTGACTTCCAATCTTGCATGTTAAAGCACCGCAAGATTTTCTTTAAATAATTCTTCTGAGAAAGTCAAATCTTCCTATTAATTCTGTCTCGGTAAATTTGCATTCCTAGAATCTTGTTTGCAAATCCTAAATCCTTCATTTTAAATTTTTTGGTCAACTGTGCCTTTAATTCTTTGATACGATCTTTATTAGGGTCTACAATCGACATGTCATCAACATACAACAATAAGATAACAAAATTATTTTTACTAAACCTCTTGAATTATGCACAATGGTCTGAATTAAGTCTGTTGTATTCAGGGCTCATGATGAATGAATTAAATCTCTTGTACCAACACCTCGATACTTGTTTTAGACCGTACAGAGATTTGTTCAACTTACAAATCAAGTTTTCTTTTCCTTTTTCTTTGAAATCTTTTGGTTGGAGCATATAAATTTTTTCTTCAAGATCTCTATGAAGAAATGTTGTTTTCACATCTAGTTGCTGTAGATGTAAGTCAAATATAGCGCTCATAGTCAGGACAATTCGGACTGTTGTTAGTCGAACTATATGAGAAAATATTTCATTAAAGTCAATACCTTCTTTTTGAGCATATCCTTTTATGTCCAATCTAGCACGATATCGCTCCATTTAATCATCTCTATTTCGCTTGATCTTGTATACCCATTTATTTCCAATAGCCTTCCTTCTTTGTGGTAGTGACACAAATACCCGAGTCTTACTTTTATGGAGAGCTTCAATTTCGTCTTGCATAGCTGTCATCCACAAAGATGCATTTGTGCTATTTATAACTTTATGGAAAGTTAATGGCTCTTCATCCTCTGTTAGAAGGCAATATGCAACGTTACTCTCCGTAATATACTCCGAGTGCCAAGTCAATGGTCTTCTCTCACGAGTTGACCTTCGAACTTCTGAAGCCTCTGATTCGATTGGTTCTTGTAGATCATGCTCTGATATTGTTTCAGAAGAATTTAGATTATTTTCTATCTTAACAGTTATAGTCTCTGAGTTCTTCCTTGAACAACTTTCTTTCTCTTCACTTTGTAGTTAGTTTTCTACAAAGATAATATCTCTGCTGACGATAACCTTACGGGCAGTGGGATCCCACAAGCGATACCCCTTTACTCCATCAA